TAACCAAGCCTTGGGCTACCTGTTGCTGCTGCGCGATAAATGAGGCTGAACATGGGGCAAGGGCAGAAACCCTCTTTTTCCCATTCGCGAGCCTTTGATGTGAAGCTAGAAAACCCCAGGATAAAGCAAAGGGCGCCTTAACAAAGGGGATTCTCTGCAGGAGGAAAACCTTTCCCACCGAACGGTTGCTACGGGTGCTTCCAAAGAAGAAAACTGCAGGCTTGAGTAATGAGATGCTCAGAAAAAATCCCAGGCTCCAAAGACAGGAGCTCTGCACTGGAGCATCTCGCTCTCCAACAGCGCGGTCCTCCTTCCGCAGAGGCAGGCCGACTCCGAGGGAGGATCGCCACGCACCGAGCAAGAGCCTGCAGCTCAGACGGCAAAGGGACAGCCCTGTGCGTGACTGGCTTCATGCTCACCTGAGGTATAAAAAAGTTCCCTGCTAATAGACCTCATGGGAGCATACAGAAACCGCAAGGTACAAGGCAGAGATGCTGGCGGCACACGCAGAAGGAACCAAAGCTACAATTCACCATCAAAACTACAAAGGTGCTGCCTTACAGTGCAAAACAGCTGCCTTGCTCCCTCTGATCCAGATCTGAACTTTGCAGCTGCCCATAAGAGAGAGAGCTAACCGCGCGCATCTGGGCAGGTCCAGGCTGCAGGCAGCAACACCAGGAAGGTCGAATTAGTTGAAATGCTTGGCTAAGATGCAGGAGAACTAGCTTAACTTCCCATGGATTTCCTGTTAACACCGGGCAGGCCACAATCTGTCACCGATACAGTGAGGGATTTGAGCTCATGCCTCATTTCCCCATGGGAGTCGTCCTATTAGCATCGGCTGGCCTGGAGCTCCTCTGTGCAATAGGCAGGCAGTAATGCCCCCTTCCCTGACACTTTTCCTGCCTTGTCTGTCTGGACTGGTTGCTGCTTGCTGAGCTGAGCAGCTGAATGGGATTTCAGCGCCAGCTGGGGCAGACAGTACTCATGCAATAAGTACTGGTTTGGAGCGGTGCTCTGCATCCAAATCCAGTCTTCCCGGGCAGTGCCATGTGTAAGTCAGCCCCATCTGAGTACCAAGAATGAGTAAATAGCAGAGGACACGAACCCGCTGTCAAGCACAACGCAACAGGAGGCTGCAGCTTGCAGCGGAGACACAAGAGAGGCGGCTGCTTGGGGTCAGTACAAAATAGCCCTGGGAAAAGCAGCCGTTAGAGATGTGAGCAGCAGCAGCACATGGCACGGGGTGGGGGGGACGTGTTTGCGTGCGTTTGTGTGTGCGCACGTGCACAGGGCCTTCACAAACAGAGCAGAGCACAAAGCCAGAAGCACTGATGTGAAGACAACCTGCTCGCTGGTTGATGAGACGGCTGACGAGAGAGGGTCTTGAGGAACCGGAAGCCATGAGGACATTAGGAGCTGAGTGGGAGCAAGAGAAAAATTGTGCTTTGTTCATTAACAGGAACCAGTTGCTCCACATTACTGGTTGTGCATCTGGATGCTAACACAAGGACACTCCCCCACCCCTTTCCTAGCATCTTAAGATGTCTGAATTGCTCAGAAACATCACACGCAGCACGATCTAGTAACAACAGATCTCAAAGGGAGCCTTGCATGCCTGCATCCTCAAGCCCACAGAGTAGCTGCTACTACAAGAAGAGAGAAAAACACTCACTGTGATATAGTTCAGTTTAAACATACAGGTTGTGTGCGTGTCTGCAGAGATTGCCTACTGTTCCACAATAAACTTCATTGTTAAGTTCATTGTTCTACTCATTCATTGTACACCTGCATTTACTGAACTTGGTGATGGCTACACCCATGAGTCTGTATATAGATTTCATAGGTTTTCATATATTTTTAGGGTCAGAAGGGACCTCAGAAGATCATTGAGTCCGACTCCCTGCCTCAACACAGGGGCCCAAATACACCCAAAACAAATAGAAAAGGACTGGGGTATTTCTAAAAGGCATTGTGCTTACTGGTAATACGACTGAACTCCAGACAAGTCACTGGTGACCAGGCAGCTAAATATCCTTCCTCCCCCATTAGAATACCATCAAAGCCTCTAGGAGACAGGGACCCGTTAAAAGACTGGTACGGATCAATCAATATTACATGCCCTCAACAGAAAGACTTGAAGGGGCTACAGAATATTGTCATTAATCTTGCATGCTGCTGCTGCTGCATGTCTTTCTAAATTGCATCAAGAATAAAATGAAGTGAGCGGTTACGCTTGGCAGGCAGCGGGGGAAGAGCAAGTAGGGAACCTGAGCTGGGTTTCCAGCTCATGGAGAGGGAAAGGGAAGGAAACAGCTATCGGTCACTTGGTGCTTTCAGCCCCCAAGAACGCGGACGGGTTGGGGCAGCTGAGCTGAGGCTCGACACCGTGCAGGAGGGATGAACAGGGGCCGCAGGAGTAAAAGGGATGTGTTGTGTTTTAACGAGAGGCATCTTCTAGCCATCTCAAGAGCATGGTTACAGTACTCTGCATTAGAGTCAATGGGAGAACTGAGCCTGGTGGATCCCCAGATCTTTTCCAAACTCTCTGACCAAGGACCAAATGCAAAAGACTTGCATCATTAGGGTCAAACTCACTGAGCCCTAGTGCATCAAGGGGGATGAGACTATTGGAAAACTAGGGTGAAAGCAAGAGGCGGATTCGTACGTACACAGCAGGATTCAGCTCCTCAATCCTCACAGCCTAGCGAAGGTATTTGCTGGGACCTGTGCTCGACTCTTTTACAGACAGAGGAGTTCTGCTGGCCCCAGTCAGGGACCATGGATAGGCAAGTTTTAAAACAGAAAATGAGCCTTAAGTATTATCTCATCATAACACACAGATTCTGGGTAACGCTATCCACTCCAACCCAGCTGTGCTTCTATTATTGCATAAACAAGATGGAGATCAAAATATATTATATAATATCGAGGGGGGATCTTTCTCCTTTTTTTTTTAAACATTGAATTATTTTCGTTTTAGGAGTGGACAAAAATGGTGTGGGGGAGGAGGGGGAAGCTACATTCACAATCATGTTGGCTCCATACGTTTTCAGATTCATTTTGTATTGGCCAATAAAGGCACCAAATAGAGGGAAAGTGTTAGACAGAAGGAGCTCTGGAGACAAGAAATCAAAAAAGGGGGAGTCTTCGCCACCTCCAGCCCAAACTCACTTGCGGAGTCTACCAACAAGTCACAGGGATAAGTGTTACAAGAGTTGATCTTTGCCACCAAACCACCACTGGGCTTTTCAGTTAAGCTGAGCAAATAAATCCCAAGAAATGCCTCATGAAGTGCGTGCCGCCTCTCTCTGCCCATGGATGACCTGCGAGCTGCCCTCCAGTGCCTCAACTGTTAGTAGTTTGAAATGACTTTATTTCCTTTGTGCTTTTCCCACCTCTTTTAACTGGTAGCGATCACAAGCAGCTCTTTGGTTTTGCTGCTCCATTACTTAGTTTGGAAAGTCAGGGGCTATTGTGGATACTCCCTGATCGAGCCTGCCAGCATTGCCGGTGTGAACACAGGACTAATTTGCCATGGTTTCTGGGGAAAGCACACACCAACCACTCTGAAAGCTGACCTCCATAACCCTGGCAGGCTGCAAAGCTCACATGTAGATATGTTCATAAAGCTTCAAAGCCCACTGAAATCTATGGGTGGGAGCCAGGTAATCCATTTGAAGTTTTAAGCCGATGTTGACAGCAAGTATTCCTTGGCTCTGCGTGCATTTTACACATCAGCTTCTCAGAACAGCTACCTAAAGAAGTTGTGGGGTCTCCATCCTTGGAAACTTTCAAAAATAGTTTAGACAGACACTTGGCTGGGACGGTTTAGTGAGGGATGATCCTGCCTTGAGCAAGGGGTTGGACTGGATGGCCTTATGAAGTCCCTTCCAGCCCCCACTCTCCTATAATCCTATGTCTAATAATATTCTAAAAGCTAAAAAAAAAAAAATAGGTCTGAACTGCAGGTAAAGATGTCAAAATGTCAAAAAAGTTGCTCACTCTTGTTGCTGAAATGCTTCTTAGGGAGTCAGCAAGTAGGAAATATTTCTGGGATGTCACCAGGGAAATGCTTCCAGAAATGCAAAATATGGATCCCTGGTCCCAGGTGACGTGGAAGCTCACTCAGGTAGTTTTCATGCCATAACATTTTTTAAATCGCCACAACAGAGAAGGAGGCTTAGTCAAAAGGTAGAGACCAAAATTATGCAGTTCAGAAGAGCAGAGGACTGTGGCCCGCATTGGAGACGTTCCTGATAAGCCTTGATGGAATTGAAGGAAGGCTGTACACAGTATCTATCCAAGGTTGCAAAACAACTTAAGTCAATTTTTGCATGGGAAAAGTTATCACATTTATGAATATGGATGAGACAGCAGGCAGCAGGGACTACGAAGAGCTCGCTAAATGATGCCTGGGTAGGATGCACAGAAAAGCTTGGTCACAGTTACTTTGTCACTACTGATCACTACTGGCAATGCTCACAGGAGGGTGGAACAGCACTGCAAGAAGAGACCTCCAAGCAGAACTAATTGTTTTCTAGGAGACATGGGCCAAACCGAGCCCTGGTGAAAGCAGGCTCACTCCCATGAGTGGTAGGGTCAGAGAGCAGGGACATAAATGGTGAGGGGGTGCAAGCTGTGCCAGGTTGACTACCAGTGATGCCCTCTGCTATGGGGAGAACCTGAAGACTGTACCTAGTCCTGAGAGACGTGATCAATACAGTCCAACAGAGCCATTTCTAGAGTGCCCTCTTTAAGAGCAGAAAAGCACCTTAAATTTAAAAGATATTATACTGCTTCAGCAGGGAAGGTGCAAGCCAGCAAAGGGAGAACCCTTGTCTTTTGATTCTGCAAAACAGGTGCATGACACGTCAGCGTTTCCGGTCATTAAAGCTGCTCTGCTCATTAATTAAAAATGGACAGGGTAGCTAGGTAACCACTGATGTGTCATTTCCAGTATCTACTTGCTAATCTTGAAGCCGTCATGGTCCGGCTCAGATCTGCATGCACAAATCTCAGCAGAGGTCTCTCATCCTGTTCAAATGACTGCCATGACTCACAGGCGGTTCACAGGTTTTCCACCCATGCTTTTTGGAAGGCCTGAGCTTCTCCTCTGCAGCAAAGCCCCCCGGGGGCTGCATCTGGTGACTGGGTAAGCAACACAAATCAATTATTTATATTTTACACTTCCAAACGGCGACAGTTAAATGCACTTCCCCCCCGTTTGCTTGTTTTCCCTCTGCTTGCATCATTAGCACAGGATCGCTCTGCCTCTAATTGTGCTTACCCAGTGCCAAGTGAAAATTAAATGTTTGGCAAAGCGGAGATCCTGCATATCCTTCCCTGCGTATATGCAAAGCGATCATCACGTTGCCCTGTGACGAGCTGGATCCTCTTCACTCCAGGCACATCGCTGCAGGGGAAACAGGCTCCCACTTTGTTGTCATCTCACGTGTCCATTCAAAGCTGATAACGAAGACACCAGTGTTCGAGCCACAACCCTCCTTCTCCCAGGCATGTTCGTTCTTAAAACCCATATTGCTCCCAGCAAAGTTCTCCAAGACAAAGAGTGCTGATTATAGACCAAATGTGTGTGATGGAGAGGTGGGAAATTTTCCCAGATTTCTCCACTTATTGCTATATTTCTGTATAGGCCATTTCCAATGCTTTGTTTCCTTCCCCCACCCCGATTAAAAGCCTGCAAGTGTTGAGACCTTGTTTTCTAACTGGCCTGTAAAGTAACCACTTTAAACTACCAAGCAAGCAAGCAAATGCTATGCCTAAATATTATAAGTCTCACTCACAGTGTGGATTTTTGTGCCTTCCCAGTGGGCAGGTATGGTTATGTCCCTGAGTCTTCTGTAGGAAGGGAACCCAGAAATTCTGGATCTTAAAGCAGAAGTTTACCGCATGGCATAAAGGACCGTACATATCAGTTCAAAAGGGAATGGCAGATTCAAATCTATAGACGTGGTCAAAAAGCATGTCAAAGTCCTGAAGGTCCAAAGAATGATAACGTCTTTCTGATGCAGTAGGTATCCAAATAAATCCAAGAATATCACTGCCAAATGCTGGTCACCGTCTATGATGAGGATGACAAGATGGAACAGGTGAATGAAACAGATGCACGGGCAGGAGATGCATGTAGTGGGAAACAAGAGTGTGGAAGATGAACAAGGGAGGTAACAACAAAATGGGCATGTGTGGCAGCGGGAGACACCCGTGGGGGTTGGAAGCGCTGGGGGCAGACCCCGACATTTCCAAAGAAAGGAACAGGGACGCCCATGCAGTGAAAAACTTACCTCTTAGGCAGGCTGGGATGGAGAAGGAGCCGTGCAAACCAGTCTTTTGCCGCCTCCTTAAGAGGCTGTCAATCAAGCTGGGCGGCAGCCAGCTGATGATGTTAGTTGGGGTTGCCACTGTGGGAAATTTAATACCCCCGCCAGAAGCCAGATGGGGGAGAAAGTCAGCTGGGAGCATGCCAGGCATGCCAAGATCCGGTGCTCCAGCTCGAGAGATCCCGACGACCCTGTCCCGTGGCAGAGGAGCAAGGGCAGTAGCTGGCATCCAGTTGGGAACTGGCAAACCCCAGCCCCAGAGCATTAAAGGCGCCAAGATGGCAATTCGCCTTAAGAGACTCGACAGGCTATATATACTTGGGTCCTGAAGCCAGCAGCCTAGGCCTCAGAGTTAGCGTAGGGATCAGGTGGTCAGGCTGATTGCCTAAGCCTGCAACGCACCCACAATTGTGGAGGTGGATGCCCCCTTAGGGCAATGCATGAGCCATAACCCTGAGTTGGGGCGGTGGCACAAAGACCTAAGCGGCTGACGAGTGGATGGGGTATAAGGGAGGTGGAGCCTCAAGAACCAGCACAGTGAACCCGTGAGTATCCCGTCTTCAGGTCCAGGGGGAAGGAGCTGAACCCCTTCTTCTTTACATTTTCCATCAAGTCGTGGCAGAAGAGTTGGGGGACCCAGACCACGGAGCAGGAACGTACTCACAGCACCAACTGGGGGCACACCACAGCATGCATTTATAAATCAACTTCCTTCAGTGTCCAAACTCTGTTTACCAAAGCCTGCATGACAATCAGAGTGGCACTTCACCAGCCCTTGAGCAAGATCCAATGCATGTTGGATACCTACCTTCTTTGGCCTTGTTGAAAACCTAAGCACAAATCCCATGGGTTTGTACTTGCATCCTTGTTCAATAATCAACAGTACCATAAGTTAAACACACGCACACACAGGAGGGGAAGGGAAATTGAGCTATGAAGATTGTTAAACAGCACATAGATCCACCAAAATGATTGGTTTTGTTCCCCTTGTTTCTAAAACTCAGCTGGGCTCTAAGTCATTTCCAGATATTTAGAACTATTTCCACTGGAGGCCCAGGGAATTTTAGTTTGTGGCCCAACTTTCCTCTTCCTACCCCACCAACATGGTACCAGCATCAACTTTTTCCCAATGGATTCAATAACAACTGCTAAATGCCATTGAAAATCACATCCACCCAACAAGTTCCTTAAATGATGTTCCACCCTATTAAAAACCCTTATTCATTTGTCTTGAAGGGATTTCACTTGTAAAAAGTCTTACCTGGGTCTTTTTTTTAATTTGTGGCTTTTGTTGCATCATTCAGACAACTGTGACAGAGACCGTATCAACCTGTCCGGGTGCTTTTAAACAGAACTGCCTCAGCAAGGCTATGGACTCAGACTGCACAAGAGAGGAACACACAGGAGGCATGTTCTGTGATCCAGTGAAAGATGGACTCTTCACAGTCATTGCAGAAAGTGTTTAATACTAACAGGATGTGTCTACATGTGCATTTAAGTGCACCTAAATTTAATGTGCATTAGCTTAGTGTGCATTAAGCAGGTTTAGACAGGCATCTACACATGCAGACACATTAAAGCGCATTAACGCTGTGTGTGGATTGACTTGGGACTAAAGTTAGTCTGAAGTCAGTCAGTACACACAGTGTTAATGCACTTTAATGTGTCCACACATTTGTTAATGTGCTGCAACTATTTGCGCCTAAATATGATACCTGCAAATAAAAAATTGATACTTGCAAAAAGCAGCAGGTGCATTTGGAGATTGATAGAGGGAAATGCCATTCAGTAGGTTCCACCCAGAGCAGGAAGGTGGAGGGAGAGGCATCTAGCTGAGACAGTGGGAACAAGGACAAACTTTTATAGGGGAATGGAGCACCCTCATCTGAGGAGATGGTTGAGATGGGAAAAGGCATTTATTGATTTATTTGTTTTAACTGCATCCCATAAAGTCCCCGGGGGGCACTTCTTCAACTGAGCATGTCACTCTTGCTTGCTGTCGACAACATGTTTCTATGCACTTGAATCCATGACCGTTGTGTAACCATGTACTCTGGTGCCAAGGGGTCACCTCCTCACCTCTTCTGACTTGACAGGGATTGTATACCTTCCTTGTACTACTGTCAGTGACAACATAAGGTGCAAGGCAATCAATTAGCAAGTGCTAGGTGGATATTATAAAGCTCTTTCTGCCCTTCAATATTTTCACCTTCACTGGGAGCCATGCTTAGAGAGACAAACATTTAAATGATTATAAGAGGCACTGAGTTTGAGCACAACAAAAGCAAAAGAGGTGCCGTAGAAGAGTCTAAAATGGTTCCAAAAAAATCTGCTGCATTTCAGCCAACCTCAGGAAGGTCCAAGCATTTGAACAAGCAGTGGATACTGGCTGGAAATCTTCTTGTAGAAGCATTCCCTACTTCCAAGTAATACTGGCAGCCCACAGAAACAGTCCAACATGCTGTTAATGCTTGGCACATTTATTCCCTAAGGCACTTTTGAAATATTAAAAGCTAGTTATCAAGATCAAGGAGTAATTCTTGATACCCCAGGCTTGCAGAAGAGGAACGTGAGAGTCTAAAAGGAGGAGTAAATCTGCCCAAAAACAACCAAGTACCAATATCTACCTGCCCTGCACAGGGTCCAATTTCCATCCATGTTCCAGGTGTGTTGAGGAATCCATATTAAGTCAAGATTTCTGGTTGATGATGCACATTAACCACACTCAGGAGGGCGTCAAGGTTTGGAAACACAAAACCAAACTTTTACAGAATAATATTGTTTCTAAATGGCATTAGCGAGGAGTTGCTGTACACGCTACGTGCTAACCTTTAAGCACCAAAAGCTCCAGTGACAGCGGTGGGACAATGCACATCTTCAGGAGGCACACCAGGCATTTGCATGCCTTAGTTGCACCAGATATCATTTTACTGCTAAGATACCCTGGAGTATCTCATCAATTCAGTGATCCTTGAATTCCTCTGCTGCCATATCTGTCACCGACACCCCACGACATATAGTAATTACAGACTGCTGTCAGACGAGCAGCATCCTCCACAAGCGGAAGCGGGTTCTTGAACTTCAATGTGTCAACCAGACTGAGCTCCATAAAGAGTGAGATTAACTTGAAAGACAGCAGGCCAAATCCTGCTCCTGTTTGCATCCTTGTCTTTCTCTGCCAAGAGAACTTGGCACGATCCATCGATGTCGCAGCGCAGAACCCTTTGCGTTGCTCCTGTGAAGCGCATGCAAGTGCGCAACATGAGCTTAAACGGAGATCGCCAGCTGGCGCACTTCACTGCTCTTCTACTGCAGTCACTGGAGCGGTGTAGATCGCTGCCCTGACACAAACAATAGCGCTGTTCCCATTTGCACCACGTGGAGATCGGGGTATTAAACGATTCCTTGAATTACACCTGTTAGATGCCAAAAAAGTACCTGTTTGAACCAGTGTTACTAATGTAAAGGGGAAAGCATTTTCTTCATCAACCCAAAGCAAATAAAGAGCTTCTTCTTCAAACCTTATGGAAACCAAATGTGGTTTACTCTCTGCCCTAGAGGTAAACCTATATAATGCAAACTGGGGGGTTATATAATGCAAACTCTGATGAAACGGTTTCAGAGTGAACGGCAATGGCGAGTATAATTGGGCCAGTCTCATATAGTCCTTAGGGGGAAGCTGTAGAAAATGGAGGCATTGTGCTTTATTCCAAGCCTTGACATTTGTTGGCCAGGATTTGCCAGCCACTCTGCTCATCCATGCACTGATAGGGCACATTTGTTAATGACACTATTCATTTTTTCCCCTTCTTTTCTTGGCAGGATTCAGCAGGCAATTATTCAGATGCTGGAATATGCAATAGAAAAATAATAGGCCTACACCTGCGCCGTCACCCTGTGAACCCCCCCTGATTTCAGAGCTGACAATGCCCAACAGTTTTACTATCTAAAGGGTTGGTCCTGACTTTTGATGCAGGCTTCTCGTGTGGGGAACGTCCCGTGAGCTGCACTGGTCTAAAACCAGCTTTGGGGGGGGGCTGAGCACCAGACGCAACTTAGAGACAATTCCTGCTTTCCTACTCTCAGGAGTGATTGCGCCGAGGGATGTGCATTCACTCTGGATTTAGACCAAGGCCATACAGCAAACCCTGGGGGCTCTTCCAAACTGGGAGGTGTTGATGCAACAAGCCACTGATTGGGGGTCGGGGGAGAAATGCCCAGTCCCTCACCTGCCCGCTCCACCTGCTCATTCAATGTGGAGGACTAGGAGTCTCCGGGGAGAAGTCAGTACCATCTTGCCCAACCCCAGCCACTCTCCTTTCCTGCCTGGGAAGCAGGATGATGCATCATTCTGCCTCCATCCACCTCTGC